TAACAACTTTCAATGGCCCTCTGAAAGGGTAAATCCTAAGAAAGTAGCCAGTGTTCATGATAATGATTCATAGCCAGTGTTCATGATAATGATGCAATTTCTATTTTGGCATCTCAAGTTGTTATGATATCAAGGAAGTTAGATCAATTTGGAATGAACTTTTCTCAAACACCAAATGTGATTGAGGAAAATTCATTGGGACAATTGATTGATTCTCAGCCATATATGAGACTTTAAGTGCAATTAACAATAGAACTAATAACTCATATTCTAACTATTATAACCCAGGTTAGAAAAACCATCCTAACTTTAACTAGAATAAAAATTATGGTGGTGGAAGTCAGCAATAAGAGAAAAATCAAACGACCCCATTGGGAAATTGGAACAACCAGGGTAATACTAACTATAGACCTTCTTATCGTCCTGACTTTACCATTAACCAACAAATTAAGGAGAAGTTGTCGTATATAGAAGAATTGGTGTTATAGATGGGTAATCAATTACAAAGTCAGAGTGTTATAATATGAAATATTGAGAATCAACTGGGACAAATTACTAACTCATTTAGCAATAGGCCTCAGTAAACACTTCCTAGTAATACTGAAGTTAATCCTAAAGATAAAAATCACGAGGAAGTTAAAGCAGTCAAGTTGAGAAGTAGTAAAGAGTTGGAGACTAAAGTGTAAAAAGAGATTGAATTTGAAAATGAGATTGATGAAAATGAAAAATATGAAAAAAAGAGTTCCTAAAGAATTGAGAAAACCTGTCTCTCCACCGTAGATTAATTTAGAAAGACCACCACCACCATTTCCTCAGAGACTGAGACAACAGAAGCTTGATCAATAATTTTCTAAGTTCTTGGAGATATTTAAGAAGCTAACAATCAACATTTATTTTGTTGAAGTGTTGGAGAAAATGTCGAGTTATGTCTAATTTATGAATGAAATGTTAAATAAGAAGAGGAAAAGTTTGGAGATTTTGGAGATCACGAGACTGTTGCACTTAGTGAAGAATGTAGTGCAATAGTTGAGAAGAAACTTTCTCAAAAACTTAAAGATCATGGTTGCTTTACTATTCCATGTATGATATAAGAAAGATTTTGTGGGAAATCTTTATGTGATTTGGAAGTGAGAATTAACCTCATTCCATTATCAATATTCAGAAGCTTAGGCTTACGAGAGATTTCTCCTGCAACTATAACCCTGGAGTTAGCTTATTGATCGATTACTTATCCTAAATGGGTTATAGAAGATGTATTAGTGGAGGTAGATAAATTTATTTTTCCTGTGAATTTCATTATTTTAGATGTTAAAGAAGATAAACAAATACCTTTCATTTTAGGGAGACATTTCCTTGCCACCAGATGAGCTATGATAGATATATAAAAAAAGAGAGTTAACCATAAGAGTTAATGGTCAGGAATTTACTTTTAATGTGTTAAAATCAATGAATTATTCAACAAAAGAAAAAGATGATGAATGTTACAGAATAGAGACTATTGACTATTTATTTGGTAATCATTTCCGAGAGAGTTGTGTAGTTAAAACGAAAAACCAAGAATTTGAGTATAAAAATGAGATAAATTTTTAAGGAAAACCAATTGATATAAACACTGAGGATTTAAATTATTTTCATGAAAATTTTGAAATTTTAGATGCTACAGAAATTAGTAAACCTCTCATTTCATCTATTGAAAAACCTCTTAAACTTGACATGAAGGTGCTCCTTACGCATTTAAAGTATGCTTTTCTAGGGAACTCATTAACATTACTTGTTATAATATCCTCAAACTTAATTGAAGATCACAAAGAGAAATTAATGGACACAATGAGAAATTATAAGAAAGCCTTTGGATGGGCATTCTCAGATATTATTAGAACCAGCCCTTCAATTTGTATGCGGAATTTTAATGGAAGATAATTATAAGTCTAGGGTAGATCCTCTGAGGAGATTGAATCACATAATGAAAGATGTTGTTAAAAAGGAAATTTTAAAGTTGTTGGATGCTGGAATTATTTATCCTTTTTCTGTCAGAGTCTAGGTTAGTTTGATTCACTGTGTTCCAAAGAAAGGGGGATTGATTGTAGTTATTAAAGAACATAATGAATTAATTCCAAGATAAAAAAGTCATTGGCTGTTGAATTTGTATTGATTATAGAAAATTGAATCTCGCCTCTAGGAAAGATCACTTTCCTCTACCTTTTTTGGATTAAATGTTGGATAGGTTAGTTGGGCACCGATATTTTGTTTTTTGGATGAATATCTTGGATACCACCAAATATTTATAGCTACCAAGGATCAAGAGAAGAAAACATTCATAAGTCCTTATGGAACTTTTGTTTTTAGAAGGATGCCCTTTGGTTTATGTAATTCACCAACAACTTTTCAAAGGTGCATGATGTTCATTTTTGCAATCTAATTGAGAAAGGAATAGAACTTTTCATGGATGACTTCTCAGTTCTTGGAACTTCCTTTAATCCATGCTTAGATCATTTAACAAGAATTCTAAATGTTGTGAAGAACCAATTTAGTTTTGAATTAGGAAAAATGTCAATTTATGGTCGTAAGAGGAATTATTTTAGAGCATAAAATTTTTGTAAATGACATGGAAGTAGATCCAGCAAAAATTCAAGTTATTGTTGAACTACCTCCTTCTACCACATTGAAAGGATTTGAAAGTTTTCTAGGACATGCTGGATTTTACTGGCACTATATTAAATACTTTTCAAAAATTGCCAAGCCTCTGTGTCATCTTTTGGAAAAGGATGCGACATTTGATTTTAATGAGGAATGCCTAAATACCATCAATTTATTAAAGGAAAAAATTAATCACTGCACTTATTATTTTTTCACCTGATTGAGAAAAATCATTTGAATTAATTTGTGATGTGAGTGATTATGCTATTAGGGCAGTATTAGGGCAAAAATAAGATAAGATTTTTAAAGTTATATAATATGCCAGTAAAACTCTTAATGAAACTCAAATTAAATACTACTACTGTAAAAGAATTATTGGTAATAATATATACATTTGATAAATTTCAGTCTTATCTGATTGGAGCTAAATGTATTGTGCATACTGATCATTCTGCTATAAAATATCTGATGTTAAAGAATTATGCAAAATCAAGGTTAATTATATGGGTATTTCTGATGCAAGAGTTCGATTTTGAAATAGTGAATAGGAAAAGAGCTGATAATCAAATTATTGTTCATTTATCAAGATTGCAACAAAAAAATTATAGTGATTATGATATTAAAATAAATGAAAATTATCCTGATGAACAACTATATGTGATTCTTGAATGACATGTTTCGTAGTATGATGATATAGTTAACTTTATAGTTAGTAATATTTTACCCTACCATTTAACATTCTATCAAAAGAAGAAGTTCATTCATGATGCAAAGTCTTACTTCTGGGATGACCCTTATTTATATAACAAATGTAAGGATCAAGTTATCCGAAGATGTGTACCATTTGAATAAACCCAAGAAATTATTCAAAAATGTCATGAATCTGATTTTGGGAGACATTTTGGGATAGATAGAACTGCATTTAAAATTCTACAATACTTTATTTAAGTATGCTAATAATTATGTTAAAACATATGATAGATGTCAAAGAGTAGGCAATATTTTTAAAAATAATGAAATACCCCTTAATTTTACTTTGGAAGATGAAATTTTTAGTGTATGGGGTTTAGATTTTATGAGACAATTATACCATCTTTTGAAAAAATATATTTTTTATTTGTTTTGGATTATATTTGAAAATGGATTGAAGTTGTTGCTTTATTCTGCTGTGCTGCTCAAAGCGTTGTAAAATTTTTAAGGAAAATATTTTTATCAGATTTGGAATGCTAAGAGCGATCATTACAGATGAGAGAAGTCATTTTAAGAACTTAAGAATTGAAACATTAACTAGGAAATATAGAATTAAGCATCAAATTTCCACAACATATCACCCTCATTCCAGTGGTCTAGCAAAATTATCCAATCTGGAAATTAAAAGAATATTAGAAAAGACTGTAAATCCTAATCGAAAAGATTAGTCTGCTATACTTAATTATACATTATGGGCCTATAAGATCGCTTATAAAACTCCTATAGGAATGTCATCATATAGGCTCATATTTGGAAAGACTTATCACTTGCCTATTAAATTAGAGCATAAAGCTTTTTGGGCTATTAAGAAATTTAGTTATAATTTAAAATATGCTGGCGAGAAATGATTATTGCAGTTAAATGTGCTCGAGGAAATTAGAAATGAATCAGATGAAAATGCAAAGAATCATAAGAAAAAGATGAAAATATGGCATGATCAGAAGATATTAAGAAAGATCTTGAGCTTGGACAAGAAATTTTACTTTATAACATAGGATTGAAGCTATTTCCCAGAAAACTTAAGTTCAGGTGGTTGGGGTCATTTATTGTAATACAAGTCTATTCTTATGGTGCTATAGATATTAAGGATCAAAAAATTGAACAAATATTTAAAGTAAACAACACAGATTGAAACCTTACATTTGTGGAAATATGTCTTTATATGATAAAATCCTGATTTTGGGTCACCTAGAGTAAAATATTGGATAAGTCGGGCTAACGACGCTGAACTAATTGTTTTGTGGGAGGCAACCCATGGTTATCTATGTGGATTGATTGTTGTTGTTATATGGCCTATTTGATGTAGTATTGAGACCAACAAGATGTAAGGAGTCACAAAAAATCAATTTACTGATCAAGTTGAAGTTGGGACATGAAAATTGGACGCAAAGCGAAACAGTGCTTATTTGCGCACTAGCACCTAGGCGCCAAAATCTAGCACCTAGGCACCATGGTTTGGAAATCATGGATAAACCGTCCCTTGATAGTTCTAACCCACTTCTTCCCTTTAAACCCACTATAAACTCGCTTAAGGGGCTCGACACTTCGTATTCTAGTCATGAGAGAGCAAATTTGGAGAAGGAAGTGAGTGTTTGATCTATTTTCTTGTGCCAATGGAGAGTAAAAACAATGGTGAGGCTGATGGAAAGAAATTCATGCACAAGGACGCCCATACATACTTCAATGGGTTCCTTGCACTTAGCCTTGAAAGAATTACCGAGAAAATCAGGAAGGTTGAGGAGAAGATTGTGAATCTGCATACCAAATTAAGTGACATTTATTACCAATTCAAGCATTTGGATTGGTAGTTGAAACTTCAGTTCAATCATTTGGCATGTTTCCAGGATGTGCAAGTGAGGATGTATCAGAAGGACAACTAGATTGGAGAGAAGTCTTCCAAAAATTTTCCTCGCTTTTCGTTCTATAATTTGTTTGTGCACCAAACTCCAATGAATGAGAAGGTGGATGAAAATAGTGTGCATAATTATTAGTAATTGAAGGTTTGTGTGTAAAATCTGATGTTTTAGTTGTGTTTGATTGTTGTGTTGACTTTGATTTTTAGATGTCTCTAGTTTTGCATATGTAGTGTCTATGTTTATATCTATTTAATTTCCTATTATGGATTGATGTTATGTCTGTTTGTATCAAATCTATGCTTATGTTTGTAAAGTTGTGTTAGGATTGTGAGTGAACTATGGTGTTAGTGTGTTCGAATCATTTGAATTGTTTGAATTTAGGAGTTCAATACTTGTGCAAATGAAAGTTGGGAGATGTTTTGGAAAATGAATAAATTATAAAATGACATTAAATCAAATACATTAGAGTTTGGAGGCCTTAGGTTTGTTGTGCTTATATTTTAAAAATAAAAAATACCAAAATTTGGGTCTGGGTCAGTTTTCCACGTAGTAGGGTGCTTAGTTGCTGAAGCCAACGCCTAGGCACCATACCGGCTGAACGTCAGTTCAATCCAATAAATCACAAATTAGACCAATTAACGCCATTTTTAATCTTGATTTGTCGTCTTCCTCCTCTATTTGCACGGTTATATCTCTAAGGGCTTCTCCTTGCTTGCGAAATTTGGTGATTTAGAGCCTATAAACTTTAGATTTCTTCTTCTCTAGGTACGATCTACACTTTTTCTAAGAAATTTTATTCTTTCACCATGGATATCTTCTACATTTTGAAAATACCAAAATTTTTGAATAATATGAAAACAATAGTGAAAATTCATGGCAGAAGATTTTTTTTGGTTGGAAATTGCTTGTAGGACCCTTTAGAATTTATGTTTGGAATTTATATGAACTTTTACTAGATTTTGTGATGGCTCCTAAAATAAAGAGAGGAAAGGGGAAAAAGGTCATTCATAACAAGAAATTTGTTAACCTCAAAGCTAAAGATTGTTATAACAAATTTTCGTTATAAAAGAAATTTATTGCTGAGCAGAGTTTTTCTAGTCCTGGTGGTGCTGTCAAGAATTTATATATTGCTCATCACTGGGAAAGATTCTGCTACTTCACTACTGTAGCAGTTATTTATGTGGTGCAAGAGTTCTATGTGAACCTGCTGGAATCACCTGAAGAGGAGGTATTTGTTCGAGAAAGGGGAGTTGAGTTCACTCTCGAGAGCATTAATGCATTATATGAGTTGCCTCCTCTTAAGGATTGATACTATTATGAATTCGAGCCTATTGAGTTAGAGCTAGATGATATCATTGGATTCCTGATGGATGGGCGTGGAGCATGGAAAATTAATAATGGGCATAAGGTAAATTTCTCTCTTCCATGCTTAATGCCCCATCTAAAGCATGGAATTATTTTATTTCGGCTTGATTTCTTCCTACAAATCATTTGAGTAAGGTGACTCACTAGAGAGTTATATAAAACTTCTGCATTTAGAAGATGAAGCCTATTGACGTTGGCTCTCTCATTTACAGATCTATTTTCATGTCCGCCAGAGCTACCACTACTTCAGATTTGGGTTACCCTTCTCATATCTTTACTATCTGTAAGCAGTCTGAAGTTAAATATGAGACTTGGGAGGAGTTACTCCCCTATTGGTAAGGCTAATGTAGATTTATATGGAAGACCTCAAGGTAGAGCTTCTGATATTCCTTCTATTTCGGCCACGAGACCTTCTACATCTAGTGTTTCTATCCATACTCCTTTTAGCATGGATATTGTACTGGAGCAGTTGCCAATACAATAAGGTGATATTCTTTCTATAAAGTGTTAGCTTCATTGGGAGCATTTGTAGCATTACTTAAAGTACATATGTGATTGTGAAGTGAATTTCAATTCTTCCCTTGTGAGCTTTTTGAAGGGAGATCAGAGTGTTGAGTTCCCTGCTTATCCTCACTATCAGATGTTTGAGCGCCAAAAGCCTATGGAAGAGGATGATGTGATGATGAGGAGGAGGAGGAGTAGATTTCTGAGTGCATGTATTTGCTTTCCCAAGTTGTTGAATTTTCCTTGTTACTTTGATAGTACCGGACATTATGTTGTTTATGTTTTCTATTGATGTGATTTCTAGACTTTTTAGTTCACTGCACCACTATTTTTCTTTTAATAAGTTCATATATATACTACTTGTATGTGATAGTAGTCCTTTACTTATTACTTTTCATGCTAAACATGTTTTTTAGATTAATTTACTGCTACACATACTTTCTTTTCTTACTTGTACCTGTAATAATTTCATGTTTAGAACCCTATGATAGATTAATATGTTAAATTTTCTTCTCTTCATACTTGGTGTATTATAATGTCTTAAACCAATTAAAAATTCAAGTTTGGGGGAGAGAGAAAAACTTTAAAAATAAAGCCTTATTTGTCCTAAATAAACTATGTTTAAAAACTGTTTTAACATTACATGTGGTATGTGGTGTTATTTAAATAACTATATTTTTAATGCTATGAATGTTATTGTAAACTTAAGTAAAGATTTTTAGAAATAAAAGCTAATTCTAGAGTTAAGATATTTGGTATAAAAGTAAAGGAATATGCTTTGACTAATCAGAGTAGGAAAAATTGTATTTTTTTGAAAAACTAAGAATCCTAGATTTACATTTTAAAAAGAATTAGAGACTCTATGAAAAATTATTTTATATTTTAATACAAATTATGAAGTAAAGAAATGTGAGAAGTTTCTAACTTTAGGAAGAGGATAGTGAAGTTCAAAATTAGTAAAGACTATCTAGATATAGTAATTCTCACATGAAAAAAAGGTAAAGTAAAAAGAAAAAAAATGTGGGCAGAAGCTTCAGGAGATGTCTAATTAAAAATTGGCTTCACTTGAATCATCTCAAGGGAAGAAACTTATTTACATTTCTGAGCTTATTTATAATTTCAAATGTATTAGTGAACTTTTTATTAATAGAGTTCTCATAAAATTCTATCTTTTATTCTTCTAAGATTCTTATGTATGAGAATTTATAGTTATTTTTGAAAAGATTAGAAAATCAAAATGCCTCACTTGAGTACTAGATATTCTCTTTAGTTCTATCCTGAGTTATTAAAAAATTTTCTAAAGTCTTACCATCACATTTATGGGTCAAGAGTATAGTAATCTTTAATGAAACTCACTGTTATAAGTTAAATTATTTATTTTACAAAATAGATGAGTTACTTGAGTATAAGTAACGTTTAAGTTTGGGGGAATTAACATGCCTTAAAATGTGTTATTTGCATATATACATTTTATACTCATTTTTAAGGATATTGGCTTTAATGAAAGGTGTTTTTTGTGTTTTTGGTTACAAGAACAAAAGTTGGAGTTTAGAGAGCAAAAGGAGAAAAACCAGAGTAAAAGACGGTCAAACGGAGCTACGAAGCAAAAAGTAGCCTAGCGCGGGTAGTTAAAATGGGCTTATAGAAGGTTGGTGCCTAAGCGCCAGAACCGGTTTTGACTTTTGTGCAATGAATTTGAACAAATTTTGAAGTGACCCTTGGTGATTTTTATAGCCCTATTTAAAGGGACCAATGGCTGGTTGAAGGGAGCCTTTCTCTCATGTGTGTGTATGTGTGGAGGTGTTTTTGGAGAGAGTGGGTTGTGATTCTTGGTGTGTGGAGTGAGAGTCTATTTAGTGTGTGATTTAGTGTGTCTATTAGAGGAAGAAGACTGCAAAGGAACGTTAAAGGCTTTGCTTGGGGAGAGGACTAAGATAAGTACTTTATATTTTTGTTTAAGTTTTTCTTTGTTGGTAAACTTTGGTTTTCATATAAATCGTATTTTGATGTGTTATCCTCATGAATTATGAGTATTTTTCTTATTTTTCTTCTTTCATTAAGAAATAATCATGTGTAGGATTATAATTGTTTAAGATTTCTCTTATTCAATTCTTGTGATGATTCATTACTTCATGCTTCATTTACATCTTCAATCAGGCCAATTGAAATGTTAAAACTTATTGTGAATCCATAATGACTCGGGAGAGCCATGTGTTCCTCAATTAGTAAGAATCACAATAATTATGAGGGTGAGAAGGTAATCCATGAGTTAGTGCAAGTAGAATTGGTGATTTTAGGGTGACAGGCTAGAAACATAATCAAATTAATCTAGAGTTTGGAACTTAAGGCTAGAGTTATTTCCAAAATGCCACAGAACCAAAAACAAAACCAAAACTAAAATCAACCAAGATAAAAATCACCTCCACAACATTCAAAATATAAAACAACTCAAAATTTAATCACAAACATCACGAAAACAACAATTGCAACTAAATTAAGACGCCTCTATCAGATGATCGGGAATCCCTTATAGGAGGTAACCTACGGTTGCTAATGAGGCTTCTCACAGTCTAAATGAAAGTACAAAACTCATTAAGTTGAGTTTAGTAAATTTATATGGACTAAGTGAATCCATTTGAAAATAGTGGTGTCGGAACAAGGGAACCGAAGGATCATAACCGGTGTCGCTCTAATCAACTTTAACATGCCCTATAAAATTTAAAGAACTTCAACCATAGGGCCACCTGATTTGACATCATAACTTGACACCCTAGAATACTGAAAACTCATCGCGACAAGGAGTTTGGAGCTAGCATGGTGGGCAACACGGCCATCTTCAACAACAAAACCCATCTTCCCTAGCTAAACCAGTTTCCTTCCTTAAAAATAAACAAACAAGCTATAGGATTTCAAGATTGTCTATGGTTGCTTGCTTATGCAACGTAAATCCTCACCATATCTGTAGTCCTTTGTATAAAATTGTTATACAATATAAGCCCTAACTCGTCTTAGGATTTTGAGGTTGTCGTCTTTCACGACCTAAACCCTCACATCTTACAGGCTATTTTTGTTATCGTTTCACACAAATATAAGCCCTAACAAATAAAATTTGTAGGATGAAACACTTAAATATTTATCCTCAAAACTGAAGCCAAACCATAGGATAGATTGGGATGTCACCGAGGTTCTCCTTCAGATCCATGACATCCCCTTGTTCTCCCTCCTTTGGATTCTATAATAAAATGTTCCAAACCATTCCCTTTTTCACACCTCTTTGTTCGATTTCGTTGAAAAAGTCTTATGCTTTTGAAATCCTTGAAGATAATATTTCCTGATTTTTATCGAGAGTTTTCTTAGGTGACAGTTTT